AGAATTTGCTTCAGCGGGACCAATGCTGATGCTGGAGGACGCGCGCCACACCTATAAAACTCCAAAGCGCTGTGCAAGAACCGAGCCAAAAGCATATTTTGCCTCGCCTTCTCATTTGGAGCAGCAGATGAAGGCGGACCCATATAGACTGGAAGTGTGTCAATGACCTGCTGCCACCATTGTGGGCGCTTGGAGGCCGTTCCTAGTACCTCACTCGCTGCGTATATTGCATCCGTCACCAACAGGGCATAGCCCAATTTCGCCACAATGTATTTGGGGCTCAAACGGCCGATGTTCTCCTTCGCACGATAAATCGAATACTCGACGAGCTGCTCGAGATGTGTCATGAGATGCTCTAGATCTTTCGAGTCCAGGAAAGGCTTCTTGAAGAGCTCTTTAATCCCCAACAGTGCTCTGCTTTCGCATACTGTCCTTTGGCGAGGCATCGGCCACCGTTTGAGTACGATGTCTCTCACTGAAGCATTGACTGAGACGCTTGGGAGCCTAAAGAAGGGATGTGTCCGCATGTCCTGTTTGCGCGGTATCTGCTGTGACACTGACTCCCCTGAAAGGGGGGAAGAGAAAATAGCNTTACACAGTAGAAACACCAGAAGCAAGGCCAATATATGATGAACACGGAAAGGAACAAGGAAATATTCAATTCAAGCTTGGCAGGCCCTTGTGCAGAGGATGGAGTGCAACAGCGTGCATGTTTTTCCACATGTCAGATCAATAATCTCGGGTTTTCGAAGCTGTCTGCGTGCGTGTGTACGTAATTGCGGCTTCTGGCTTGGCAGAGGCCCAAGCTACTCTTGGTTTTCTGCTCCTAAGAAGGGGTCGGGCAGGAAACCTACAGCAAGTATGGCAACTTACCTTGAAGTTCGAAATCTCACTAGCCAAGAGCATATAGGCACCCTTGGTGCCCGGTTGGCCGACTATGCACTTGAACAACAACGCTTTTTTACTCGCCGTTTGCGCAGCCAGCAAATGCTCCCTTAGCGGCATAATGGCGCCTCGAGGAGAAAACAGTACGCCTGAAGTCGGAGATGTTATGTCTACGGAGGACTTGCTGCACTGCAGCGACCCTTCAACTGGTGACGCGCTACCGGCGGTACCCTCTTCTGGCAAATGTTGTGCCACTGCAGTATGCCCGGAGCTCCCGGGCGCATCAGTAGGCCCTGCAACGGCGGACTCGCTTGTGGAGANGCCACTGCAGTATGCCCGGAGCTCCCGGGCGCATCAGTAGGCCCTGCAACGGCGGACTCGCTTGTGGAGAGCGACTTTGACAGCTCTTCGTCGTCTAAAAATTGCATTCCCATATAGGGCTCTAGCAGCCAGTCTTCTGGTTCTACACCCTCATTCCCCTCCGCGAGTGTCTGCTCAACATACTGCAAGATTGACTGTCGGAGCTCTTCAGCAGCACCTCCCGTTTGCGTAGGCGCTACTGAGCGGTCTACAACATCTGATGGAATGCGTGAGGTCTCAAGTTGTTCCTCTAGCACTTCCTTCTTCTTTTTCTTAGGCGGTTCCCCATACACACTCCACCCTGCTGGCGCATCTGCCTCTGACGGTTCGGCAGATATTCCATGACGGCCGGTGGCTGTGCCCGATTCGGATCCTTCACCTCCGCATGCTTCTTGAACGAGGTTTCCACTCCCATGCTTTTTCGTTGCTTGTTCTCCTCCAGCCAATCTTCGCCCCGTGTGCTTTTGTAGGGCATCCCTACTCAGCGATACACAATGGGACACCAGGAAT